GTTGCCACGCTTGAGTCCATCGATGCTGCCGCTTGGCTAATCCATCTCTTTGGGAGTCTTCCTCTTTTTCCTCTGACCCTCCGCCTTACCAAACATGATATCCTTCTCCAGCAACTGGTCCCTCCAATGTTGTTGTTCTGCCCCATAGCAACCCTGCACAGGGTTTCTGAGGCTGTAAATCTTTATAAGAGCAGAAAGCCTCATCTTTCTCCCACGGAGCAGCTAGTAGTTTTGAACTGCTTACCTTGAGGTTCGCAGCCCGATTCGTAACCACTACGCTACCAGAGCTCCTTGACCCATAATAGCTGGTAAGATATTCAAACTACCAGCCTTTCTGGTGGTAGCAGCTGAGTGCTTAACCACTCACTGCCTGTAGGAGTGAACTTGAATAAGTTTGTGACTTTGGGTTTGGTAAACTCATTCCTTTTTCTTTTTAACGTTACTTGGAGCTTATGGTGTTTTTTCATGGCTTTCTTTGTGTTTTGAACAAAGGCGGCCTCGATGATCCACCCTAAAGAGGTACCCCCTGAAGCCATCTTGCTGGCGGTGTACCTAGAACTGCAGAATGGTAAGTGATTCCTCTCTGGGTCCAGGTCAAGGTTGTGTCCCTTGAAAAAGCTATAGATTTTTTGATGTCTTCTTTTCTCTTTAAATTCGAAACTGCCTTCCTTAATGATATTACCTACCAAGTAATATAATTAACCAAAAAATGTAATTAGGGTGTTTTTGGAAATTAAGCATATTTCCTTTAATCTGAAAACTCAGAACCACTTAACTTCTAACAATTATAATTGTTGTTGTTGTTAAGTGCCGCCGAGTCAGTTCTGACTCATAGCCACCATGTATAGGGTTTCCACAGAGCACCTTGTGAGTTTGAACTGCCGGACCTTGCAGTTCAAACTGACCTCATGGTCCAGTACTTATCTACAACACCACACCAGGACTCCAACAATCACAATTAACTTTGTGATTAATTATTACGAATCGGGCTGCGAACCTTAAGGTCAGCGGTTCGAAACTACCAGCTGCTCCACGGGAGAAAGATGAGGCTTTCTACTCCTGTAAAGATTTACACCCTCAGAAACCCTGTACAGGGTCGCTATGGGTCGGAACCGACTCGACGGCACTTAACAACAACAACAACGTCATTTACTTTGCAGACTCTTACAATTAATCCCTACTAATTAGCCTTTCCTTTAGAGTCCAGATGTGGCACTGGAGGGTAAGCACTGGACTACTAACCACAAAGTTGAAGATTCCAACTCACTAGCTGCTCCTCGGAAACCCTATACAGGGTTGCTATGAGTCAGAACTGACTGGACAGCACTTAACAACAACAACTAACCTTTCTCGTAGGTGGCCACAGGACTCTTACATGAGAACATGAGTTAGAATGCCGTTGCTGAAGTTGTACACAGTAGTTTTTTAAATGACATTAGTGAGTTTTATAGTAAGCTTGTTCTTGCTGAGATAATTATTTATCCAAACCTAAATACAGGTTGTGGCTCTGGGGTGGCATGTAAGACATGCAGGATATGGCTTAATAGAAAGACTGTGGGCCCCTAAATAAGAGATAGTAAGGAAGACATATAACTGGGAGAAATTAGAAGGAACAGAAATATTTACAAGTTCTAAGTCATACCTCCTTGTTAATCGTGGGAACCCTCACCAAGGACACAGCTGAAGAAAAACGTGGAGGACCTGGCTTCAAGTAGACCTTGGCCTTCTGAAAGTTGTGTTCAGGGTTAGGGCCTGAATATTCCATGGGATTCTGATTCCTTTTTTGTCCAACGACCTAGAGACAAGTTGCCAACATTTGCTTTGTATTAAAATCACTAGGGGGCTTTTAAAAAAAAAAACAACCCACATTTACCCAGTCTATACCCTGCATCACTTAAATCAGAATTTCTGGGGATGGGGGCGTAGGCATTATGTGATTTCAGTGTACTCCCAAGCTTGCAGACTGTAGCTTTTCTGTATCATCTGTTACCTTTCTTGCTAGGATTTTGATGGCTTGCTTTGTGTGTACTGGTATTGTTGTGTGTTTTTTTTTTTTCTTAACGGGAAGTGTTTTTATAGGTAATACCCAGCTGGCCTTACAGATCATTAAAAGGAATCAGCTGCTCCCTGCAGTGAAAACACTCTCGGAGATGAGAAAGAAGGCAGTGTTTCAGCCTGTCCATCCGATCCAGCCCATCCAAATGCCGGCTTTCACCACTGTGCAGAGAAAGTGATGTTTGGTCCTTGGTAAACTGTTACCTGAGACCCAGGGAATTTTACTAGCCTTTATAAGTTGCATCACAACAAAATGAATAAAAGACTGGTTCTGAAGACATATATTGAGATGATTCTACCCCTGTTTTTTTTTGCCAAAAACTACCAAAAAATTAAGGATACATAAACTCACTTGCAGCTATTTTTCTTTACCCTTTACCAGATTATTACATTGGGGTTATTATGTGTTGATCTGTGTCACAGGCAATTAAAACATGATCTTATCAGAGAAGTCTTTTGTCTTTATTGTAACAATTAGGGTATTTTTATCTCTGAAATTGAGTGTTAAAATTTTTCAGAATTATAAGGGAGAACATCAACAACAGTAAACAAATGGCCAATCCAGAAGCTGATGGAGGTAGTCAGGGATTGTTGGAGAAATGATGTATTTTATTTCTAGCTATGAATAACAGGACCAGAAAATTCGTAATGGCTCATCCAAAGCCAAAAAGCAAAGTCACTTCCATTGAGTTGATTCTGACTCATAATAACACTTTGTTGTTGTTGTTGTTAGGTGCCATCAAGTCAATTCCAGCTCACAGCGACCCTGAATAGGATTTCTGAGGAGCACCTGATAGATTTGAACCACCAGCCTTGTGGTTAGCAGTCCTGTAGCGCCAAGGTGTTTATCCCACAGCATGCTTATCCTATAGTGCCAGAGTGTTTGTCCTACAGCACTTCCCCAGGATTCCTATAGGATAGAGCAAAATTCTATAGGACTTCTAAGGCTGTAAGTCTGTACTGAAGCAGACTGCCTCATTGAGTGTCTGGTGGGTTAGCAGTTCAGCACTTAACCCACTTCACCACCAGGGCTCCTGTTGTTAAGTACCATGGAGTCTGTTAGGACTCAGCAACACTGTATAGAGTTTCAGAGGAGTGCCTTGTGGGTTTGAACTATCGACTTTGTGGTTAGCAGTCCAGTGCTTACTCTGCAACAACACTTCAGGATTCCAGGGCTCGTTGTTGTTGTTGTTAAGTGCCGTCAAGTTGGTTCCGGCCCACAGAAACTCTGTATAGTGTTTCCAAGGAGTGACTGGTGAGCTTGAACCACTGACCCTGTGGTTCAAACTGACTTTGCAGTCCAGCACATTAACCTACAGCGCCACACCAGGACCCTTTAGAGATGGTGAAATCAACTTTAAAGAGGCACCTGATCTGATAGCAGTTGTTTCACTGTTTAAAATTTAGGCAAACAAGGTTCAGTGCATTGGTCTGGTTTATGTTCCTTAGAAACAATGCTTCTAGGGTTTCTTAGTGGTTTATGGCTAACACTTTGTAAATACAAACAAGAGTGTATTTACATCCGCCCAATGTATGTATGAAATTGACATTGCCAAGAATTTGCAAATAAGGTGGATATACTAACTTTGGGGAAGAAAAAAACCACAATATAGACTTGGCTTAAAAAGTTAGATGACCTCCTCGTTAAGATTGTGTTTGGTAGATTCATCAAAGCTTGCTACATAGGAGTAGTCCTTGCTATCTACATCACATCAGTTTCCTTGTTTAGGAATCTGAAGATGGCAGTATAACTTATTGGTTATATATGCATAGTTCTTAGATTCAGAATGAGAAAATTATTTGGATAGCACATAATTTATCCAGAACTTTATCAAAATTTATTCTGTTGCTGAAGTTAAACAGTGAGAGTTCAGATAGTGGTGTATTTTGAGTATTTGTGATGTAACAAGACACTGCCCACAGATGACTCTGAGAGAGGGAGATTTTCTGCACTTTAACATGCGATGGATAAATGTGAGATCCACATTTCAGGTGAATACACAAAGCAGATGAGCTGAGAGAAGGACCCTTAAACTGCACTGGAATCGGTCCAAGTTTGCAGCCTCCCCTTCCCAGAGCCCAAGACCAACACTGGATGGTAGCAGAGTTGCTTAACCTGGTTACCTTTTTGAGACTTAATACACAAAATTAATCCTTTTTGAGACTTAATACACAAAATTAATAATAACCCATAGGGTGTTAGTAGTGCAAGGTGAAAGGAGGCCTATAATTACACTTAAAGGACAATACATCTGGCTTCTGCGAAACATTCTGGGAGTGCTTCTTCCAGCACGGATTTGTGTGTTCTTCTGGCAGTCCATGGTACCATTTAAGTTCTTCTCCAACACCATAACTCAAATGTATCAAATCTTCTAAGGTCTTCCTTAATAATTGTCCAACTTTTACATACATATGAGGCGATTGAAACTACCATAGCTTGGGTCAGGTACACCTTAATCCTCTGACAGCTTTGCTCTTTAATATTTTAAGGAGAGGTCTTTTCCAGCCAGGAGCGGCTAGAAGAATAGAAGATAATTCTTGAAAGAAAGAAAAATAAAAAACAATAGCAGCAGTCCGACTGACTGCTATAAGAACAAGCAAGTTGCTCGCCCAGGAGACATCAAGCCAAGTGGTCAGGTCCCCTCAGGGCTTTAAACCCCCTTCCTAGACTAAGACTCATGACATGCGGTCTGACTGCATACGGGGGAAGTGAGGGAAAAACAGCAATGAAGTTGTGAGCTAAGTCCTACCACATTCTGTGAACCTGGTGAACACCTGGTTGGCCAGCATTATGACAAGTCCCAGGGACTCCTGGACCCAGAGTCAGTGACATAGTCACAGAGGACTAGAGTGGAGACTGAAGTGTCCAGCAGATAAGAAGTGAGGGGATATGCACAAGAACACCCACACTTACAGATAATACCCACTTGACCTGGCTTCAATGGCTGGATGATCAGAACTCAACTAGAAGAAAAAAGAGTAATTTGATAAACTTGAGCTACACGTATGGATGCAGTAGCTCAAAAGAGGGAACAAATCTTTACAGCAAGGATCATTCCCACCCCCTCCATACACAGAGTAGACAGGGATAGGCAACTTGGACATTGGCTACCCAAAATGGTGGGGAGGGGGGAGAGCTACAAAGGCAAGAAGTGACTGGCTTACAAGCTTTCAAGAGGGAGCCTAGATCCAGAGGGTGCAGGGAAGTTAGAATCTCCACTGAGTAGTATCCAATCTGTCTGGGCAGGGCTGATGAAAGGAGATGGTAATAGCATTCATGTAACACAATAGTGAATAATTGCTATCAGGATTGACTGTGAGGGTTGGAAATGTAAAGGTAGACATTTTGTAGCAAAAGGAGGGGAGTGTTTGCAGTCCAGGAATGGAGGTCCCTGGGATCATCAAGGGAGAAGAGCAGAGTATGGGACCCTACCCAGAGAAGCAGTGACACCAGAGATGGAGGCAGAGACAAGGACATGGAGAGATGTAGCAGCTGGGGACTCTAGACCCAGAGAGGGAGAGGGGCTGTGTGCTGATGACCGAGGGGCAGGCAACTAATGTTCTCCCATGTAAACTATCACATAATTCACAATAAAACATTAAAAAAAAAAAGGTCTTTTGCAGCAAATTTGCCTATTACATCTTTTGATTTCTTAAATGATGTCATTTATTAGTCCAGTGGTGAGGATTTTTGTTCTCTTTACATTGAGCTGCATGCAATCTATACTGAAGGCTGTTGTATTTGATCCTCATCAATAAGTATTTTAAGTCTGCTTCACTTTGTGTAAGCAAGATTGTATCATCTGCATATTGAAGGTGGTTGTCAGTGAGTCTTCCTCCAGTCCTAATGCCACATTCTTCATTCAATCCAGCATCTAGCATTATTTGTTCAGCATAGAGACTGAATAAGTATGGTGAAAAGATACAACCTTGACACACACTTTGCCTGATTTTAAATTATTGAATACCCCCTTGTTCTGTTGTGACAACTGCCTCTTGGTCTATGTACAGGTTCCTCATGAGAACAGTTAAATGTTTTGGACTACCCATTTTTCAAAATGTTATCAATTTATAATGAAGACAAAAACTATAAAGCAAAAAGAGGGAAAAATGTAGTTACAGAACTTCCAAATGGTGAGGAAGTCAAGTGCATTTGAAGATAAAATTGGCTGTCTTTAACTAGGAAAGAAATTAATAAATCACTGGATAGCCTCAAAGAAAAGAATTACACCTTCATATCAAATCAAGAAAAGGGGAAAACAGACTTCTGGCAAGATGGTGGACTAGGCAGATGTGCTACACAGACCATCTTTAATAAAGATGAGAGACCAAATGAAGACCCAGATGAAGAGATATCTTGGAACCCAGATGAAGAGATATCTTGGAACCCAGAATTTAGGATGAAAGGTATGGATTGACTGCTTACTAGAAGGAGATGCTGAACAGGAATGGCAAGAGAGGGAGACTTGACAATGGCTGGACAGATGCAGCACAATCATCTTGAACTTTTGTGAACAACTTTGGCTACAGAAGGTGGCCTGGCAGAGCAGATGCACACAACAACAAGAAAGGTGTGATTCCTTCCCCCACCCCCATGTGCTGGTGACCATAGGTGTGGCCAGCTTCCACCCGCATCCACCCTAGCATAGGCCAGTACTCTGGGTGTTTTGAGCACTGTGGTTGTGAACTACGCCAATGTGAGGCTGGGGCCAAAGTATTCAGGCAGGCTCAGTCAGCTCTAGACCTGTAGAACCCTCAGAGTAACCAGAGCAGCCTTAGTCTAACAGAAACCCTCATTACCATTCACACTTGTCCTTCAGCTGCCTTTTGGTCCTAACAGACACTGAAGCCAGCTCCATCATTTGTCTCCACAATTTACCTCCAGATTGAGTCCTCTTAACATAGATGACAACTGGGTCTATAGGAACTCCATCTAGGGCCAGTAACTCTCTCAGGAACCTGGAGTACAGTCACTCACAGAAGGACAAATAGTATATTAGACTAGTATTGTAAAAAATTTTTTAAACTGCTTTCATGGTACAAGAAGCATTCTTTGATGGTTTCCAGGGATGGGAGACAAAGGAATGATAATTCACTGGCTAGATGGTAGATGCATGTTAACTCTGGTGACTGGGAGAGCAATATACAAGCAGAGGGAGGTTGCAGAAGAATGATGAAGGACTTACGCAAGGGTTAAAGGGGATAGAGGTAAATAGTGTTATATGCACAACCGTGGAACATCTGTGTTTTTTCAGGTAGATACATGGACA